GAGTTTACATCAGAGTTTTCTCAACTCTCATGCCCTGGTCAAACGAGAACAAGAGTTGCATGAGAGTTGAGAAGCGAGAGTTTACATCAGAGTTTTCTCAACTCTCATGCCCTGGTCAAACGAGAACAAGAGTTGCATGAGAGTTGAGAAGCGAGAGTTTACATCAGAGTTTTCTCAACTCTCATGCCCTGGTCAAACGAGAACAAGAGTTGCATGAGAGTTGAGAAGCGAGAGTTTACATCAGAGTTTTCTCAACTCTCATGCCCTGGTCAAACGAGAACAAGAGTTGCATGAGAGTTGAGAAGCGAGAGTTTACATCAGAGTTTTCTCAACTCTCATGCCCTGGTCAAACGAGAACAAGAGTTGCATGAGAGTTGAGAAGCGAGAGTTTACATCAGAGTTTTCTCAACTCTCATGCCCTGGTCAAACGAGAACAAGAGTTGCATGAGAGTTGAGAAGCGAGAGTTTACATCAGAGTTTTCTCAACTCTCATGCCCTGGTCAAACGAGAACAAGAGTTGCATGAGAGTTGAGAAGCGAGAGTTTACATCAGAGTTTTCTAAACTCTCATGCCCTGGTCAAACTCGTGAGAACAAGAGTTGCATGAGAGTTGAGAAGCGAGAATTTACATCAGAGTTTTCTCAACTCTCATGCCCTGGTCAAACGAGAACAAGAGTTGCATGAAAAGCGAGAGTTTACATCAGAGTTTTCTCAACTCTCATGCCCTGGTCAAACGAGAACAAGAGTTGCATGAGAGTTGAGAAGCGAGAGTTTGCATGAGGGTTTTCTCAACTCTCATGCCCTGGCCAAACGAGAACAAGAGTTTCGTGAGAGTTGATGTGAGTTTACAGGATATTACCGCGCGCGTAGTGAAAAGTCTCATAAAATTTTGAACTCTCTCCTTGTTTGAGCAGGGCTTCGATATTTGTTCTTTTTTTGCGTCATACACACCAAATCCGCAACTAATACTTACTGACACCAGTGAGCTCTCTATATATAATTTCCGCTATCGTTGGCTTCTGTTTTTGGAAACGAATTCACACTCCAGATATATAAATGGAGCTCACTGATTAAAACTCATCTCATATGATTATATAAATAGTAAATACACCCTTTCGATATAAAGTACGTCATTTGGCCTGGGAGCCTCGCTCTCATGAACAGTCCCAGGACCAAAAAGTATGTGTGGCATAATTATCGAAAGGGTGTACTGGGGCAATGGCAATGCAATAAATAGGCCTTTAGAAGCCTTCCTCAAAAGGTTTATGAAAACGAATGTAGAAGCGAAGACAATGCCAAGTACGCCTTGAATAGCAAGATTATAGAGTAACCGCTACAATTGTTTGGTTAAAGATGAACTTTAACGATCAATTTCAATGTTACTGCGTCATTGTTTTAACATCCTATTCAAACACAATGTATAAAATGTTGATGGCACCATTAAGTAACCAATAACAGTAAATCGTTTGAAATCCATTAAAAATATGACAACCGTGCTAAAACGACAAGTTTATTATTGACATTGGCGCTCTTTGGATAGTACTAATAAAATAATACGCATGCACGTAAAATCTCACAACTTGTCAACTAGATGTCTCCTCAACAGGCTTGTAGGAAGCTTGTCAACAAGTTGTAACAATGATGTTATTTCATCAAGTTGCTACAAGGTTGCTGTTATTTCATCAAGTTGCTACAAGGTTGTCACTCACAACTTGTTGACAAATTGTTGAATTGCAGGACGATAACAAGTTGTTGGAACAACCTATAACAAGTCTATTGAGGTCAACAACCTTGTAGCAAGTTGTCAACAGGCCGTTGAGAACTTGTCAACAAGCTGGGAACAAGCAGTGGGAACACATCCTGTTGACAAGTTGTTGGAACAGTGTTGCTACAAGTCTGCTGCAGATTTGTTACAACTTGTGCGTTTTTACGTTTGTAGTCCATATACAGCTTTGAAAATTGAAACCCATGCGCCTTGGTAGGTTGAACTTATTTGCCAAATCAAAAGTCGGCACTCCAATTGACCATTTGCGTAATAGACTAAATTTTGAACTAAACAAGTCTGAACAAAAATTTCATCACAG